ATTCGTCTCCCATTTTTATATATTTGGTTTAGAATGTTCGAAAATGCGTAATATGGTCATTAATATTAATTAAAAAGAACCTTGAATTAATTCAATCTGATCTCACAAAATATTTTAAATTACAAACTTTGTAGTTTGAATAGATAATTAGTATTAAACTCAAATAACTAGTTTATTTTTGAATAAAAATTATTTGAATTCATTCAATTTTGTGAATTTCCCTTCAAAAATCAAGTTTAAATATCTTATTTGCCATATAATTATAAATACAATGAAACATATTCGAAATTGAAAAGAATGACTTTTTCTGTTCTTTCAATCATTCAATTTGAATTTTGCAATATTGGATTTCTCATTAAATAGCTATTAAAAACAACAAGCAATTTAACTTACATTCAAATTTATTTGTGTTATATTCAATCTTCTCAAAACTTATAATTTTCGGCTATAGCATGAGTATATGCTATATAATATAATAAACCTATAATAGTATCATTCTTTCAATTATTTGAAGAGAAAACCGAAAAAATCTATTTTCGGTCTATAACAAGGTTTATCCTTCGCTTTTAAGATCATTGAATTTGATTTTTACATAAAATAGTTATATATTAGAAAATAATATGAGTTTATGTGATATTATTTTTCAGAAGATTTTGTGTTCTTATTCAAAATTTTATTTTTTTTATTCAAAAGAATCCTTACAAAATATACATTTACTTTAATTAATATTTAAAAACGTGCTCTATCAAAAGTTCCAAAAATTCAATATTTTAGCTTTTCTGAGGTGTCACTTTTGATGAATTTCTGTTTACAACAGTTCATTCAGATTTTTTTCGTGAACCGAAATGACACGATGACGAAACCACTATACTTAGATTTGGTGACTACCTTATATAAAAACGATATGTGGTGTTTGGCCGGACGATAACCTCAAAAGATATGAATTGTGCACAGGTTCGATTGTTCCGTACCGAAATGCATCACTAGAAAAGTGACAAAAAGTGACACTTACTCTTATTTTGTGCGGCAATTTTTCTAAGTTATTTTGTTAAGCTAAATATGTTATATATCAAATCAGCTTTATAAATATTATAGAAAAGTTTATTTTTATTTTTATTTTTAATTATTATTATTATTATTTTTTAAATTAAAAGAAAACATTAGAATTATATGGATATATTTAAATTAATTATAAAAATAAAATTGAATATATTGAAGTTTGAGTTTATAGGTATACAAATTTTAGAGGCATTTTGGCTGAGAACTATGGTCTGCGAGGTACATAGATAGAATCAGTACCTCGCAGACTATAGTTCTCTATATGGCGCCGAAAATTTTTGGTGAAATGTCGTCGCATTTCACCAAAAATTTTTCGGCGCCATAGGAAGAATTGGAGGGTGTGAGATACTATTACATGCTATAGTACTCACACCCTCCAATTCTTAGCCAAAACGGCTAAAAATTGCTCACAATTTCAACAATTGTGAGCAATTTTCAGCCATTTTGGCTGAGAACTATGGTCTGCGAGGTACATGGATAGAATCAGTACCTCGCAGACTATAGTTCTCTATATGGCGCCCAAAAAAAAATTTATGATTGTTTTTTATCAAATCTTATCCATATTATTCTATTAATGTTAATTATATTTTATCAATTATATTTTTTTAAATAATAAACACAAAATCCACTAATTTAAAATTGGCGCCAAATGTCACTTTTGCTAGTGATGCATTTCGGTATGATATAGTGACAACTTTACGTGTCAGATTTTATGAAAATAAGGTATTTATCACAAATATATAATCAATATAATTATATTATAGAAGGCTATTTAATAAATCTATATTAAAAAAAAAAAAAAAAAAAAGGTAGTGGGGCTTCCAGGCACTTCGTGCCTTCTAGCCCTGAAGATGTTTAGTATAAATGAAGTTCTTATATACGGGTCTTCCAGGAGCTTTTCACAAATTATATATGTTTTCATGTTTTGTCAAGACTTCTTCGTAAAATCAGACAAAAATAATGTTTAGGGTAGAAGGTTAGATATAACCTCTTTTCTAACCTCTTTTCTACCCTCTTGAATTTTCAAGACTTCTTCGTACATGTTTTGTCACTTTTCTGTCACTTTTCAGGGAAAAAACATTTTTATTAAATATAAAATGAATTTTACAAAACCACCGTTACCCTTCTTTGGAAATAAGAGTAGATGTAAAGATATTCTATTGAGAGAACTTAAGAAACTACCGAATGGTCTAACATTTGTAGACTTGTTCGGTGGAAGTTTCTATATATCTCATTTGTGCCATACAATATTTCCTGACTCAAAGATTATATGCAATGACTTCGACAACTATATGGACCGTCTCAAACATATTCCAGACACAAACAATATATTGAAAGCGTTAAAAGAAAAGATACCTATAGGTAAGATGGAACGTATACCATTAGATAAGAAAAATATTGTGAGAGAGGTTTTGAAAAAAGCAGAATATATAGACTGGGATAGTATATCTGCTAGACTATTATATAGTGGTGCTATAAGAGTTCATGACATTGAAACACTTATGTCAAAAGTTTTATATCTTAACTATACAAATGTTTTCAAAGAGGACATAGAAAAATATATTGAGGGTATAGAGTTTGTGAGATGTCATTGGACAGAGTTGTATGAAAAATATAAAGACAAGGAAAATGTTTTCTTTATAGTGGACCCACCGTTCTATAACACATGGGATTTTCAATACCAAGTAGACTGGACTTTGAGAGACTCTTTAGAAACTTTAGACGTTTTACATAACCATCCATGCTTTTACTTTACATCCGATAAAAGTGGTTTGGAAAGTGTCATGAGATGGTTAGAGGACATACATGACTATGAGTTTAGATACGATAAGATAGAATATGAGAGAGGTCCTATAAACTGGAGAAAGTGTCATAACAAAGAAATTTTACTAGTAAGTAAATGTGGTTTGAAATAGGACTACTTGTTTTAGGTTTTTTCCATTGTGTCATTTACTTATTTGACGTGGCAGAAAGATATAGAGAATATGAAGATGAACCAATGCCTGCAAATGTTCAGTATATGTACTCGTAAGAGATATTTTTATCTAATATTAAATGGACGCACAGAACTTAGCGAATGCACAGCAACCTGGACAACCAAACCCAGAGAATATTCCAAATGAAGTTAGAATACAAACTGCAATGGCAAACTATGGTCAAGTGCCAACAGATGTACAAATGCAAACTGCCATGTCAAATGACGCTGCGTTAGGTTTGCCACCATGGTATGCAAATATGAGATGGAAAGAGTTTTATACAAACCCTGAAGTGGGATATAAACAACTTTATGCAGATGACGCGAACACAGGAGTTGACCCAGAATATGTTTTCTACCAGAGGAGAAACAGAATGTATGAGCTCCAGTTAAAGAATGCTATGGAACTCAACAGGAAACGTAAGAGACTAGGCGGACATTAGATTTTTACATATAGTAAAATGGGTTTCTTTGGAAGAATAGGAAACTTCTTTCGAAATGTTGGAAGAGGTATATGGAATGGAATAAAATCTGTCGGAAAAGGAATTTGGAACGGAGTCAAAAATATTGGTAAAAGAGTAGGTCAGTTTGTTGGTATTATACCTAAAGACCCTGAACCAGAAGAACAAGCTCCTGTTATACAACAGCCTGAACCTGCACCACAGTCTAGTTGGCAACCAAATCCAACACCTCAACCGTATTAAAAAATTATATTTTTATCGTTCGATAGTAGTTGTATATGAAACTAAGTTCTAAGTAAAACGCATGGTATAATGGAATTATTCTTTTTCTTCCATCTGTAGTAAACCATACTTGAAAGTCTGAAATACTTCCACTTGGTGGTTCGTATAACTTTGTAGGTTTTTCGTAAAAGTCATTTGCCAAGCATAAGAAAGAGTTTTGGGCGCCAGAAAATGAAGCATGAACAATAATAGCAGCTGGGTCGAAAACATCTTTAAATAAATATGGTTCATCTCTTGCATATCGACTGTAAATATTTGCTAAAGGAAGTTCGACTTTCTGATTTAACATTCTTTGCAAATAATACCATGACATTGCAGTGAATTCTGTATATATTTGTTCGTCTTTCTTTGGATTGTCTTCGTAGATTTGAAATGACACTTGTGAATTTTGTTTGTCATATACAATTCTCACATAAAGTGTGCTCTCGGTATTTGCATATTCATCAGCATATTTTGCATAACATGAATTTATTTTATCTTCTATTTTTTAACGCAGTCTGTAGAGAAGATGAAAGGTCAACTTGTATTAGCTCAATTTCTTCCCACATTTTTCGTTTCCCTTCAGATATATAATCTATATGAAACCTTACAATAAATGGAAAACTTTTATCTTCTACAGACACAAACTTCATTCTACGAAAGCCAATAGCTTTTGTGACAGATGGGTCTCTTAGCCATCTAAGTGGGTAGTCAAAACGATAGCCTTCATGCTTTACGGTCTCTGTCTCAAACTTTTGACCGACATTCGTAAAAAGTTCATCTAATGGTTTAGTTGTAGCAACTCTTGAATTTTCTTTTTCTATTGGAAGCATATTTTATCTAGAATAAAAATGTCGAAAGAAACAGCGTCTATGAGAGAAATACAACACAACCGACAACTCATTATGCAAGCTCTAAATAAGAACACAACAAACTTTTCAAACTATTCTAAGATATCTGAGTCATTGAAAGAAGGAAACTTAAAACTGACGATAAACCCAATGACAGACGAGTTTCTGTTTCAAGACAGTAAGAACCATACTGTTTGTATAAATCCAACAAAAAGAACTTTAAACGAGAAACCTATAGATGAACTTCTTTTGAAGGCAGATATTGACAACAAAGCTGACAAAGAGTATGTCATTGAAAAAGTTCAAGAAGAACATGACAGAGCAGATGCAACATATGCAACGAAAGAACATACTCATCCTGAACTAGCAGATAAAACATATGTTGACAATAAAATGTCAAGTGAAGTGACAAGAGCTGACAAAGAATATTCTAAAAAGACTCATACACATACCATTGCAAATATTACAAACTTACAAGAAACCTTAAACAGGAAAAGTGACGTTGGACATACACACGATTTCTTCGCAACTGTTGGTATAGAAAATATTGCAGGAACGGTTGAAGAACCTGATGGAACTGGTGGGGATGTATTAAATTGGAAACCTCCTAACTTTCCACAAGGTTTAACATCGGAGGATGACATAACAACGATGAAAGACATTAAATGTAGAAATGTCTATGTCATGGAGGATGAAAACAAAGTTAAATTCACTGCTCAAGATTTATATGATAAAAAAGCTGACAAAACATATGTTAACGATGAGTTAGATAAAAAAGCTGACAAAACATATGTTAACGATGAGTTAGATAAAAAAGCTGACAAAACAGAGCTTCAAACGTTAAAGACAGAAATACTTCAAACACTATATCCTATAGGCTCTATTTATACGTCAATGAACTCTACCAGACCAGAAGTAGTACTTGGTTTTGGAACTTGGACTCAAATAGTCGACAGGTTTTTGTATTGTGCAAACTCTTCAAAGGAAACAGGTGGAAGTAAAACGATTTCAGGTGCAAATTTACCTGCGCACAGTCACTACATAAATTTAAGTACATCTGAAGCAGGTTTGCATAGTCATAGATTTTGGGATTGGTCAGGAATGACAAAAGGTAAAGGATATGATGTTAAAGAGGACGTTAAGTTTGCTATAAATTGTTACTGGAGTAACACTGAGGTAGGAGGAAGCCATACACATCGCGTTTCAGGGTATACGCAAACAACGGGACAGAGTAAAGACTACATGCCACCTTACATGACAGTTTACGCATGGTATAGAAATGCTTAGTCGTCATTTTCAACTTCTTTAGCATATTCGTCAGGAGTTGTCTTATATTTGTTAGGAACTGTCTTTGAAAGTATACCACCTTGAACTTTGACAAGTTTGAAACGAGGTCTGACAATAGTAGTTTTATCTTCTGCTTGCAGTGTGTACATTTTGCCATGTTTGCCTAAAACTTCATAATATTCTCTTGTATACTTTCTTCTATTTTTACGAACACGAATGCGAGTACCTGTCGAGTTCCCATTGTTGTCATAGTCAATAGTATTTTCATATGGGTCGCGTTTAGGTATTTCTATTTTTACTTTGTCACCTTTCTTAAGTTTGAAGCCTGGCATTCTTTCTTGTTTGTCTCTTTTGACTAAACTATTAAATATATAGTCTTTCTCTAAGTCGGGGTTGTTTTTCATTTCTTCGGGGGAGTGGTTTCCCAAACCTTTTTGTTTACGGCTATTGTAAATATTTAAAACTTGTCTCATCTTTGCCATGGAGAAGTGTCTATATTTGTCGTCATATGACATTTCATCTACCTCACCACCTTGTGGTTGATTTAAGTCTCTTAAGATTTTTATACAACTGTCAATGACACCAAGAGCAGAATGGTTTTGGTCGACAATGAAATATTGGTTTACATTTTTTGAACGCAGATAGTTTTTAATATCGTCTGATTTGAAAGAACTTTCACAGTCAGATGTCAGTTTTGTTGGATGGTATTTGTCAAAAATATTGTCAAAGCAGTTTTCACATCTAAAATATTTTTGGACTGTAATGGTATGGCTTCACAGTATCTTGTGTTTTGACCGACAAATATTAGCCAGTATGGTGGTCCATCTTCTCTATACCTCGGAATGTTTTCCAAGATATCCATAAACCAAGCATTTGGTGTTGAACTAAAGATTTTTATCATGAGTGCTTTCTTTGTTGCCTTAGAAACATAGGGGTCCTTGTTTGGATTCGTCATTTTTTACCCTATAAGAAATGGGTTTATTTGGCGCATTAGCAGGAGTTGCATCCAGATTTTTGCCCGCAGTGGGAACAATAGCCAGAGGTGCATTTGGAATTGGAAGGAAGATTTTGAGTACATTAGGTATACTTAAAGAGAAAGCACAACCTATTATACAAACTGTACAGAAAGGTTGGGATGTAGCACGAGATGCAGCAAATCTTATTCCAAATCCTGAAACAAGAGGAAAAGTTCAAGGATGGATGGACAATGTAGGAAGACAAGCAGGAAACTACTATAACAAAGCAAATGACTACTATAACCAAGCAGGGCACTACATGGACCAAGGTGAAAGATTCTTTAACAGAGGATATAACCATGCACAACAGTGGGTAAACAACAACCAACCGCAACCGCCTCAAACGTGGGGAATGTAAATTTTTTTACTGAGATGAAATGAACAATACAGCATTGAGACAAATGGGCTCAAGATGGATTTGTCGGCTTCCAGCAGTTACACAACCACGTGTTTGTCAAGTTCTTCCTATACCTCAAGAAGTTTTAGACCGACTTAAAAAACCTAAACAACCAGTTGAAAACAAACCAAACTAAAATTTTTTACTGAGATGAAATGACCGAAGAAGTTGAAACGGTAGATTTGACACCACAAACAAAAAGTTCAGAACCATTGTCAAAACCTGTCAAAGAACTTACAGATGAAGAGAAAAATTCAATAATAGAAAGTGCCAGGTCTGGAAATACAAACCCTAACTACAAAGTCACTTTTCATAGAAATGGAACGGCTAGTATCTCAAAAAAGAAACAGACTCTCACAAATAAAATATTGAAGTCTGAAGGAGCTTTCGAGACAACAGATGGAAAAGTTTACTTCACTGACCAACAGTTCATTATAGAACATCTCATTGACTTAGAGTCGAAATATTCTAAACTTTACAACAAACACAAAAAGTTGAAAGGAAAACAAAAACAAATGGCATATGATATTTATGAAGATGTTGACGACACAACCATACCTGCAAGTGAGGTAAAGTCAGAGGAACCGAAAAGTGACGAAAAACCGATAGAAGAAGGGAAGCCAAAAACTGAAGATAAACCAAAACCAAAGGTTAGTCAACCTTCATTAGCTGGTATGGGTTGGCGTCAAAGACTTATGGCAGCCGGTGGTTACGTAAAGTAAAGAAAAAAAACATTTTTTTATTTTTATAAAAATGCCCCCATATAGAATGGATAGAAAGTCTGCTAGAATAAAAGCAGAGTTAGAAAGATATGGTTGGAAAGTTTCGAAGAATTTTAAATATAGGAAGGGAAGACCCATAAAAGTCTATGACAAACTGTCTGGTCTTCGCTATGAAATGGACTTGGAAACAGCGCGCGCCAATTATCCAAACAGACTAGAGAGGTTAGAAGAAGAACGTCTTATGGACATGCCTTTCGATGTTTCTGAACCTCAAGTTGAAGGACACGACGGCTTTGCCAGATTCTACTGGAAAACGACGAACAATTGCATCCTTTGAGAAGGAAAAAAGGAAAAGGTGAAGACAAACATGCTCCCATGGAAAGAACAAGATATGCATATGAAAAGTACCGTGAAGTTAGAAGTCAAATTACATCTGGTCGAACCTTTACAGTAAACTTTGACGAAGGAAAGAACAAAGAAGGCTTCATGGGAGTACTTGCTGCCATACAAGACGGAAATAAGAAAGGATACAATCTCAGACTAACCGTAACAGATTTGGACGGTCATATATACTATGCACATGGCAATGTCACAACAGCTGCAATGCTTCTTGACGCTTTCAAGACTACAAAGAGAGAACAAATGGTTGACTCCGACTCAGACATTTTGAATGCAATTGAAGGAATTGCAAGTGTAAAATTTGAATGGTACCAACCTAACCCTCAAGCAGTCAGACAACATGCTGGATACTTCCCGTTCATAAATAAGTCTGACATTGACTTGACAAGGTATGGAATTTACAATTCAATTGAAACAATTGTCAATGAACCTTGTATTCTTACATGTCTCAGGAACTCTGGTCTTGTTACAGATGAGAAGATGAAGTATCTTGAGTCATGTGTGAAGACAAGGTACATTCTCAGAGGTCAATTGGCAAAAGTTGCACCGTTGGCAAATGTCAATATCCGAGTCAACATACCTACAGCTAAAGGTTCTTCACATGACGACTATGTTGTTGACAAAGACTTACCATGGTTGAAGATTGTAATTGTCCACAACCACTTCATGTTGAACGAAAGTCTTACAAACCCATTGTTCGGAAAAGGCAAGTGCAACATTGTCAGAGCTGTAAACATTCTTTTCGAGAAAGGTTTGTTGGAACCAATTCCAGATGACAAGCTGACAGAAACTTTTGTACCAAAAGACGAAACAAACTTTTCATTGTTAGCAAGACCAAAAGTTGTTCCAGACAAAGTTCTAGCACAAAAGAAGTACACAGTTCCAAAAGGAGTTGGATTGTTCGGATACCAACCTGAACCAGAAGAACTTCCAATGAGGTTGCAAGAACTTCAAGATGCTATAAACAAACTTCCATTGAGACATCCAATTGACGTCAAATTGTATTGGAGAGCATCTGAGTTAGGTCAGAAGGTTTTATATGAAACAGGTTGCTTCGACGATGTTTATGAGATAGCAGGCGAAGTTTCTCAGAAGATAAGAGACTCACTTGAATTTCCACGAACTGGACCCATTGGTTGCGACAAGTTCGACTCAGATGAAAAGATATACTATGTCGACCTTAACGCTGCGTACATGAGGTTCGTCCAATATATCCCGACTGGAATTCCAAACGAAGACGGTGAGTTCCCAGGAAGGAACTATACAGTTGGAAAAGTCATACAACAACTGTATGATATTAGGAAAGCTTCAAACCCCAAACTTGCAATGACACTCAAATTGCTTATGAATTCGACATGGGGATATTCCATTAAGAAACCTCAAAAGATGAAGAGTAAACACTATGAGAAGGTCGACAACTTTGTTGAAAGGTTCTCCCCTTTTGTTTTGAAATACGAATTTACTCAAGGTCAAGGTGGCTTAGTAACCACAGTAAAACCTATTGTCGAACATTGGTCTTACCCTCAGTTCGCAAAGGCAGTCCTTGACAACTACAACAAATTCTTCTCCGAAGTTAAATCCAAAGTGAAGGTTTACTATGAGAACATCGATGCGCTCATGACGAACGAAGAAGGCTATAACAAACTCATTGAAATGGGAATGGTCGGTGAAAAGATGGGTCAATTCAAATTGGACAAAATTTTCACCGAAGTTCATGTCCTCTCCAAGCGTAAGTACTGGGGCATACTTGAAGACGGCACAGAAATAAAACATTGCATGAAATAAAAAATTTTTATTCGAATTTGAATCGGACAGGTCGAGTTACACCATTCTTGGTCTCAAACTCATATATAACCTGTTTGTCTGTATTTTCGTCGACTATGGCACGAGACACGAACATTGACCAAACGGACAAAAAGTGTCATTTCGGATGGTCCCGCAGCCAATCGCATTCGAGCACTTCGAAGAAGCCTTACGTTCCAAGGGAGAGGGTGTCTGGTGCAAGGCAGAGGTCATGAGACTCTACGAGCAGTACATCCTCAATGCCTGGGAGGACAAATCGTCCTTGGAATGGCAATTCTACCAACTCCTCTGGGACGACCTCCTACGCAACTGGGATGACGAAAGAGTCCAATTCAGAGGTCAGGAACTACTTGTCCAAATTATCCTTAATTTAAGCCGCTTACGCAACTAAAAACTTAAATTTACTCGGGGTTTCCCCCTAAAATAAAATTTTTTTACTCTTAGAACCACTCGAGGTTCTCCTTACGGTTGTTGAGCTTGTCACCGTCAATGTGTCTGACCTTCGTCCTCTTGTTTGGATTTGGAACCCATTGAATTGCGACAAGCTTGCCCATGGAGATTGAACCGTAATTCCGAAGGGTAAGGTTCAAGTGTCCCAAGTTGTTGAGAACTGGGGTAAGAACCTTGCCGGTCTCCTTGTTGCGGATTTGGTATGGGTAGGGT